CGCGCTAAGCGCTTACGGTTCAACTACCAACAAGGAAACAAGTCCCGCCATTTATTCAAACCTTCTCTTTTTATTTTTCTATGCTCAACACTGTAAGGTGGCGCCATCTAGCGTTTGAATCGCACCAGCAGCAACGAAGATGGTCGTCATCTTGAATCGCTTAGCCGATTTGCAAACCACGTATCCCAGTTTCAATTCTCAACACTGTAAGGTGGCGCCATCTAGCAGTGACTTTTAGAACTGCGAGCCAAGACGAACTTTGCTCATCTACTTGCGAGGTTTTAGTGAGATTTGAATCTTTAATTAGACGCATAGTCCTTCTCTGATGAGAATAAAAAATGATAATGATAAGCCATATCATGTCTTGGGAGATTGTTTAAAAACGTAGGATAGTATATATGTCTTGTTTAAGACAACGCACGATTTTATTTTTAAAGAATTAAATTAGACTATAGTTTTGGGTTCTCAAATGGTAAAAAGATGAAAATCTTTAACAAGCGATATTTTGGACTGTCTTCGAACGTCAAGATCGATGGACTTAATCTAAGTCTTGAGGTTATCCTACTGTAAGGTGTTTTCTTGTTTCTAAGAAAATATAACCCTTACATGTGATACCCTAGGGCTCGGAGGCATTCAGGCGCCAGTTTATTAATGTGGTTTGCTCCACAACTCGGGCAGCTTCTAGTGGAGGTGACGAAAAAATTCCAGGGGTCTCATTGATATCAGACTATGAACATAAGAGGGTAACAATAACAGGCTTTAATCGTTGTTACGTGAGGGAATTTCCGGAATCTGTTATGCTGGATGGCGGAAAAAAACGTGAAACGGTATTAAATGTTGGATCTAGTAAGTCAAGTCTTCTGTTCGCTGCGTCGGTCAAGATAGCCAGCTGGTCGGTTCGGAGATTTAGCGAGAGAGAGCAGATCCTTCTTCACCAGATTTTATGGTTTGTTAACGCGACACGTCATGCAAACTCAGTTATTAGTTGGAAGTGGGGAATCGAAGCTATCGTTCACTTACCAACAAAAATTTTTGATGGAAGGAATCATACACAATAAACGTGAAAACTCGAATTTTTGACATAAAGGGTAAATGGTAATAAGTAAATGAAAATATTAAATTCTGTTTTCAGAAGACCTTTGGGTCTCAAACATCTAAATAAAAGTAAGTTCGTTACACTACATTGCATTGATTTTTTTGTAAAAAACCGCAGCGCTGTTAGAAAGCCTCGCGTATTCGGGGGCTTCAAATTGACAATGGTTTCCTGGTTTAATAGTACAATATGCAATAATCTATGACGTGGGCTTAATGGTCCCCCTTTAAGAAGCGATTTGACCGCCACTGTAACACGGTAAAATAAAATTTATATTATTGTTGTTTTCTACTATTATATAGATTTCAAATTACTACATAATCAATTTGTATTGTTTACGATATTGGTAAAAACTATAAATATTATATTAATTACCTGATGTGCATAAAATGGGGTTATTAAACATAATAGAACCAAATAAAATTCATAGGAAGTTTAAAATTTAAATTGTACTTTTAGTAATCAAAAGTTTGGTAGTTCAATAAACTAATTAAACTTTCAGAAACTTGAATGCCCTCATCAGTATAATACGATGCAAATCTGCTTCATTATTTTCCATCCTCTTTTTACTTTAATTGTAGGATTTTCTGCTTTTCTAACTTGATTATTCTTGAATACGGTTGAGTTACCTTCCTTTTCTTTGGTAAGAGTTTTACTTAATTTAGGTCGTCTTCTTTGTCAGAAGTTCGTTCAGATTTCGAAATACGAAGACGAAGAAACAAAACATTACCACAATAAATTACTTATTCCAAAGTAATAGATATTTTAAAAAATTATCTGTTTTTGTAATTGAAATTTGTTTAATTTGGAATTATACAGTTTTATACGTTGAATTAAAACAATAATAAATATAATAAATTTATAATACATTCTAATTTTAACTAATATTTTTTTCCTAAATCATTGTAGTCTGTGAGTTAGGTTCCTTCCCTCGTATCAAGTATAACTAAGTGATGACTCTTGTAGAATGTCTTGGATCTTGATTAAAGGGGTTGTGAATAATTTACAAATTAAAGTACCTTGCTTTTAATAATAACAGACAGGGGTCTAATATCAAAAGTAGCAAACTCCAAATTTTCCAATTGTTTTCTGTCGTACCGATTTGGGATGTTTGTTTATTAAAATATCAGATCTTATTTTGTAACAAAAACAGAAATAAACCGTTAAAACCATTTAGCAAAGTTGTAATTTGGGATCAGAAACAGCAATCTCCAAATTTGTCATAACAAAAGTAGCAAAGTCACTTTCAGCCAATAACACGTAGTTAAACCAGTATGGTAGCTGTCGTTGATTTGTAACAACTTGTGCATAGTTAATTACTGTTTTTTAGTATATAATAACAAAATAATAAGAATTGTTTAGTGAAAATTCATAAAATGGAGGTCTCTTGTCCTCCTGTAGATAAAAAACACGCAAGAAAGTGTGTTAGAAATGCCAAAAATTGGAAATCAAATAAGGCGAAATGATTAAGATAAGCAACATTTTTTCCAGGACCGCAATTAGTAAATCTATATGGTAGGGTTGCAGCTAAGGGGTTGAAGAAAAAAATTTCATTTTATTTGCAACAAATACGTCCAATGTAAAATCAATTCACGTGTTTCAGCGTTTTTTTTTTTTAATTTACTGGTTGAACAATTAATAATTTTATTCCGGACTTTCGTGCAACTCTGTATATGTATTTATTTATTTATTCATATACTGCTATTGAAAACCCTCTAATACGGTTTGCTAGTGTCGAAGAGAAAACTACGGAGACTTCGCATTAGTTCGAGAAGAAAACGAATAATATCAACGTTGCCAATGGCCTGCGTTGGGATTGTGGGTATATCTGACGTTGTGTGCCTATTCTTAATTCACATCAGACAGCACAGATCGCAGACAGATAGTACAATACACACAGACGGCCAACGGTGTATACACGAGAGTTTTCCTTACGCAGCTAGGCGGCCGTTTACTGGCAACGTTGTTATTTTAGTTTCTTGCTTGCACCAATAATAAAAAACTTTCTCATTTGTGGTCAACTTTAAGGGACACATTCATAGGCGCCGCCACACAAGGGCAAGCGCCCAGGATTTACGATTTTAGATTTTTCCAATGAAGTTGAGAGGGGTAGAAAGCCAATATGTATTTTGTATCAATAAATCAAGATGCGACTCTATGGGCGCAGCCATTTTTATTGCTCATCTCACTCGGGATTATTTATAATAACCATTTTCTGTTTCACTTTGTTATTGTTCAATCCACAAGCTGGTGGATCAGACAATAACAATGTGAAATGAAAAATGGTTATTATAAATACTCCCGAGTGAGATGAAAAATAACCTGTCTTCGCTCATAGAGTCGCATCTCAAGCCTATTGACAAACATTCTACCCCACTCCAGTTCATTGGATTTTTCGCTATGTCTTTTATCTATAGCCTGCGGCATTTTGAACTTGCATATAAACCCTGCCCCCCAGCAATTTGTTGGTCGGTGCCCATGGACACATTGTTTATTAACAATATGAAAAACCTTTGTTTTTATTTTCTGTTAATCACAATATTAATTAGTAAGCAGAACTGTGTTTGTATTCAATACCTTCCTGGGTGTTTTCAAACCCCAGTTAACTATCATAAACAGCAATCTCCTTTCATGAGCAAATCATATATAGCAAGCTCCAACCTTAAATATCAAATACAGCAAACTCTAATATACATAGCCAATTTAAAATATTATTTAAATTCCTACGACGATTTTGACTGCAATTTACATACAATAATTTATTTACACACAAAGTTGTTGTTGTTGTTGTTTAGTGGAAAATTTAGAAAAGTGGACTTTGCTACATTTGATATTAGATGCCTGATTTTATCTCCTTAAACTTTAAATTCAATATAACAACCACATAACAAACGATTGATTGGTGAAAATGTTTCTTCTAATAAACTGAACACAAAACATGCCGGGTTTAAAAAAGCTTTCATGAATATAGCATTTGTTTTGATTTAAAATTTGCGACTGCTTCGCATGGAGGTTAAAATTGTTGTCAGCTAAAAAATATCTTTATGAGTCGATTCTAAAAGTACTTTGCTTGAAACTGTCTTATACTTGCTTTAGAAAGGTAGCGTATTTTGTCCGTTTATGAAGTGAGACAAAGCTATATGTTAGAAATTGTTAAGCGCGCGCTTGAATTTATTTGGCAAATAATTTTAAACGAATTTATACAAGGGAGAATCGTCCGTGAGTCAGAACATACAGGGTGTAACTAAATAAGTGTGAAACATTTAAGGGGGTGATTCCTCATCGAAAAAAAGATAGGATCATTTATATAAAGAAACTTCATTGGAGCATCCCTTGTTAAGATACAGCCCCTTAAAGGGGGGGTACATAAAATTTGTTTAACAATTTTTTTCACAAGCACTGAACAAGTTACAATATTAAAATTAACCTGTCATTTTCTACTACCAAAAAGACACTTAGCCAGTAATTTATTTGGTTTACCCCATGGTTGTAAAGGGTGGAAAACGCAACCCCTAAAATTTCGTTCCAACGTAACTTTTTGTCATAAATTTTTTGCCCAAAATAATATTATTATTATTATTATTATTATTATTATTATTATTATTATTATTATTATTATTATTATTATCATTATTATTATTATTATTATTATTATTATTATTATTATTATTATTATTATTATTATTATTATTATCATTATTATTATTATTATTATTATTATTATTAATTATATTTTAACTAGTAAACAATAAGCATTTTTTTTCAATGCGTAAACTGGACCTTTCTGACCGGCCAGGTCAAAAATAGAAAAAATCTTATCTTATCTTTTTCTATGTCTTTATCTTACTCGATTTTATATTTAGTCGAGCTATATTAACACATAATTAAAAAAAAAATGTATACTTACCCTATTATAAATTGAATTTTTAATGATGATATTTTTAGGTCCTATGCACAGGTTCTTTGAGAATGAATACTGACAGTTGTATTCGTGTAACCCAAGAAGCTACGCTCATTATCCATCTCACACAGCTGAAATTTTAATATCCAAACCATCCCAATCCTGAAAAATAAAAATTGCCTTTAATATCAAAATAGATATGACTTTGTAAATTTTATTGAAACAAATATTATCTAGTTTCTCATTTTATTTTTATATTATTTAACAGCTTGGGGAAAAATTACAGATAAATCACCTCTGCAACATTTCAGATCTACAAATATGGTAGACTTGCAGATACTTGAAGATACTAGGAGGGGCCCAAAAAAGACGGAATAAAAGAGCGCGGACGTTCCTAGGCGTAGTAGTTAATAACAAAGTGTATTATTGCATATCCATAAAATCCGAACCAATAGAAAAATTCCTCCCTAATGGCATCACGAGATTTAAATAATATGTGAATATATGTAATGTAATTTAGTTAGATTAATATACTATTTAGTAAATTAAAATGAAATATTTAAACTTATTTTCTTCCCTTCCTCTTTCATTTAAAATGAAATAATAATGATTATTGCAAAAAAAACCTATATTTTCATATTAATTTTAAGAAACCATTTATGTGTTTATAATTTTTTATAGATTCCTGAATAGGCGAAGGCCATTAAATTGAAGAAGAATGGCATAACCAAACACATTTTTAAATTTGTTAATCTATAAATATCGTGATAAATATACAAATATAAAAAATAACGTATGTATAAAAAATTTTGGCAAAAATTTATTTGTATAATTTTATTATTTTAATAAGTCAACCGACAGAACTTTTCTAAAAATCCGCCGTCTTAACTGTTGCTCGTTTTCATACACTTTTCGAGACAAAATGACCCAGAAATCTTAAAATTTACGTTGTCTAAACGTTCTCCTACATTGTTGGTGTAAAAACAGTCGTTTCCTTTAATTTCGGATTTACTGAGAGTAAAGTATTTTTCATCATCCGATTACGTTGTTATTTACAAAATGAGTGCGCCTTAAGCATAGCAGCATCTCGGTGTTCGAGCTAACTGATTTGGCACATATTTCAGATATTTTTTGCTTTTACGATATTATACTTCTCTTCTTTCAGTTCTCTGAAAATCACAAATGCCGTAACACAGTAAATGTTTTCTCAGTTACTCTCCAATCGATACATTTTGATTTTTAAAAAGTTGGAATATTTGAGTTTTAAGCATCTCTCCAACTAAATTGTTTATGCTTCTTTCTAATTTTGACATATAAAGTGACATTTTTTGTAATCGCAGCAAGTATCAAAATTATCTACTTTACGCAACCAGTAGCATAATGTTATACAGAATAAAATTGGTTTCGAAAAATTCATTGTGTCACCAATTACGAAAACAAAACAATAAAAAATAAACCTTTTTTGAAAGTTTTTATTAGGTAGGGGCAGGTTGACTTATAAAAATAGAATTTGCTTAAACTTACAACCTGATAATAATGTTATTTTGGTCCTCATTTTCCATTCTAAATCAGAATAAAATAATTAAAACACAATACAGGACAAAATAACCCACTTTTTGAAAACTAAATAACTTTAATAAACCATCTTAAAGTTTCAAGTATTTTCCAGGGATCGGAAACTGATCTTGAAGTTCTGGTAATCGACCAACTTCTTCTTAAACACAGATAAGAGACTTCAGGCGTTGTTGATGCTGGCGGAAGTGATATAGATCAGCGGGTAGTCTTTAGGAACTGTGATCAGATCTTGTTGTTGCTCGGTTATAATACCATATCTTGCTTTTCATGTACCTCCATATGTACCAATACATTTTTCAAAGAGAAGTTCAGGTGTTTCTTGGAGCTAGTTTACTTTTTCTTTCTTGTCATGGTCACCCCCAAATAGCGCCAGCCGGTTTTGGTGCACTACCTTTAGTTCACCGTTCGGGATCTTGCTTATACGGTAAATTAATTTTTTTAATGATGTACAGACCTTTCTAAGAGCTCTGGAGCCTTGGAGAATAACCCTTCTGTCTTTTTCGGTTACAGAGCCAGACTTTGTCACCTTCCTGGAAACATCCTTCTATGGCTTGAGTATCGTATCGATTCTTCTTCCTATCGCTGGAGATTTGAAGATGCGAGCGAACCAATTCATGCATATCATTCATTTATCTTCCTAGCTGGATCCTATAATCTTCACATGCTATTTATTTTCCAGGTCGGCATACAAATTAGATATCGAACGGTAGTCTCACCTCATGCCCAAACAGAACTTTTGCTGGTATTTGGCCTTTGATTCATTAACAGCGGATCTATGGGATATGGCGAAGAGCAAAAGATACTAATCCTAATCTCGTGGATGATTGGACACCACTTTTGACAGGTACTTGCCAATTGCCTTATTCATTAGCTCTACTATTCAATCCAACTGTGGGTAAAAATCCGTAGTTCTGGTTTTCTTCATACCTAGTCTGTCACAGATTCCTCGAAAAAGCTTGGTTTCAAAATTTGTGCCTTGGTTTCTGTGGATCTCCAAGGGTACTACATATCGACTGATAAACTATTTTATCAACACGTTTGCAATGGTTGCGGTCTCTTAATTTGGAATGGCGTAGACTTCCATCCATTTCAAAAAATAATCCATAACCACAATCATGTATTTATTACCATCTTGGATTACGGGGAATTGTCCAGCAATATCTAAGGCAATTCTCTCAAATGGACTACCGACGTTATACTGCTTCATGGGGGGCCTTGCTTTTTTGTCTGGATCCATTACTCATAGCACAGGTGGTACATTTATTACACCAGTTATTTAGATCATCGAAAATGTCCATCCAGTAAAATATTTCACGAATTCTCTGAAGAGTTTTCTTGACACCAAGATGACTTACTGGTGAACTGTCGTGAAGAAGTACTTCGGCTACTTTAGTCTTTGGAATAACCAACTGTCTTCGGTTTTCGGAACCATCATCATTTTCGAGTACTCGCTTTAATAAGCCTTCTTCTAGGATAAAATAGTTCCACTGGGCCAAATATAACTTAACTGCTGAAGAAAGATTTGGTACTTCTTGTCAAGTAGGTCGACGATTTTCCTCATTCCAGTGTCGCATCTTCTTTAAAATGGGATCATTCTCTTGTTTCACCCTAATTTTGGGAGGGGCCACTAATCTTTGACTACAATAGTTTTCAGTAGTTCACTTTCTTTGAATTTTGCTTTGTTTCAGTATCACAGTATTCTAGAAAGAAAATCGGAATTTCTGTGGCTTATTCCGGCTCGACAATCCATCTTAAAGTCGTACTCCTGATCAAGATCCTCTAGTCCTTGACGCAACTCAGTCACTTAGGAGACTGCACAATGGGTCTAGTAAGGCCTAAATGCTGTGAGGTAACCCATCTTCTATACGTTACAGATACAGTACTTTTAAATCACTTTTAAATCACTTTTAAATCACAAAGGTTTTTAGCCATTTTTGCCAACAATTTATTTACATTTCCACTTCTAACACCAATGTAACGATTGTCTAATTTAAACATAGTTTTTTTATTTTATGCATTTTATTTATATTCCATAAATATACTAATTTTTTTTATTAATTTAACTCAAATTTACATAAAATACTTTTTTCTAATTTATTTTACAGCAAATATCTTATACATAAACTTCTAACTTTAAAACTAACTATCTGCAGAGATTCTATTTGTCTATTTATCTAGAAAGATCTTGTAAAGACGCCGTCCTTGCTTTGGTGATTTCTAGATGGTTGGGGACAAAGCGAAAACCCTTCCTCTATGAGTTGGTACGTGTACAAATTCTCTCGGATCTATTGATGCAGATTGGCCGTCGCTCTATATCGCAAAAGCACAAGACCAGACCGGATGGCTTACACGACAGTAGGGTTTTTGTTCTCAACTATTCTCATTTGCAACAGACTTTTGAGAAGGAGCTACATACAAGTTTTAGAGTGGTTTGTGCTCTTTAAATGTGATAATCGTTGAACTTCACGCTTATTTGTAAATCATCAGTTAAAATTCGATACCACGACCTCCAGTTCACTCCTGTAGGTTCTGATATTTCATAGTACTTGAAACGACGACCCTAGTTGATTTTTTGGTGAATTTTTTAATCTTTTCTTTGTGGTGAGGAGCACCCAGAAGTAGCGTGATCCTCAACACTCATCTCACCACGTATAAAACGCCCAAACTACTTATTTGTACGACTTATACCATACTTTTTGGAGCTTGCTAAAGCATTTGGTAAGCTTTCGTTGCTGATTTTTAAAATATAATAATAATAATAATAATAATAATAATAATAATAATAATAATAATAATAATAATAATAATAATAATAATAATAATAATAATAATAATAATAATAATAATAATAATAATAATAATAATAATAATAATAATAATAATAATAATAATAATAATAATAATAATAATAATAATAATAATAATAATAATAATAATAATGTTTATTCAATTCAATTCAGTACATAAATTCAATAATAAATATAAATATAAGGATAGATACATAAAAGTTAGGATAAATACAAGTAACATATTATTAAAAAGACTTAGTAACTACCTCATTAAAATAATACATACTAAGTAGAGGGTGAATAAACAAAGTTAAGCCACAGAAGTAGTTTTTAGAACTACTTGTATTGTGACCTTAATACAGTTTGTTTTGCCTTTTTTGGGTGACACAAACAGGGTTTTTGTCAAACCCAGTGAAAAAAAAAATATATTGTCAAATCCAGTTTAAGACACATTCGGGGTATAAGGACAAAATAGAGGTAAGTTAAAATTAAAATATCAGACACATAATCTTGCAGACACATATTCTTGAAATGGCTACTTTTGTCACTGTAGAGTTTGATTTACTATATCGGTAAAAAATCGTCTCTCTGTTTCCATAATCCATTTTTTAATTCGATTTTTATATAAATTAAAACTTTTTGAGTTTTTTATAATCATTAGATAACAGCACGTAAATTCTTGGGGCTAAATAGTTAGTATTTCTTTTCCCGATAGTTTTTTCACTTCGTGGGAAAACGATCCCTTCATATCTCCTAGTATTATAAGAGTGTTCATGATGTACAAATTTTATTTTATTTTGAAATATAAAAAACAATATTTTTTGAACGAAAATTTGTCGTACATCTTTTACTTGGGCATCTAGATATAATTGATCTGAGGAAAATAAAATATTTTTTTGGAATATGATTCTTAAAAGCCATTTTTGTACAATATGAACAGTCATTTACTCCACCCCACCCTAAAATACCATAAGAAAGCAGTGACTCAACCAGTGAGAAATACAAGACTTTTAATTCCTCAACTTCAAGAATTTCCTTTAAATACCTAAATTTTGGCAAATGACCTCTTATTTTTTTTTACTATTTTCTTACATTGTAGATCCCATCTCATATGACG